CAGTTTTGCATATCAGGCTTTGATTGCATATTTCATGTATTGTGGTAGCTGAGAGTAGTTCATTTTCACAACCCTTTGAAATACATTTTTGGAAGCAGTGGGACATGAGATTCTTTGACCGTCCATGAGTAACACTGATCCTTCCTTAGCCGTCTTGTTGACAAGTATGGCTTTAGGTATACCAAATATGAATAAGCATATTCTTGGTGTTTGATATATGATGGTGACTATCAAGTATTTGATTTATGATTGTAATTCTCAATTAAATATGTAGTCGCTTGAGTTTGTTGAGAATAAGAAATGCAAAAATGGTGTAGCAAGCGTGTACTGAAAAGCTTATGTCATGTCAGTTATCATCCCAGTATGACTCATAAATAATTGTAGCACATGCACATGTATGGTGCCTGTCCAATAAGCATAAATTTGGACTTTCTCTCTGTGATAATGTTTATAGGAGGAGAGGCAGGTTATTATCTTAGCATTCACTGTTGGCTTTTACCATTTTTGTGTTACTATTGTTACCATGCTGGTTAGTACAATAAGCCTTACTAGTTTTTGGTGTTTGGTGTTACTCTTGTAAGTATTATGCATCAAGAACACCATAGCCTATTTAAAAGGGATTAAATTAAAATTAGAGGTGGAGCTTTATGCAAATGAATTTATTGAACAACCTATAGCTAGATCCATAAGTGGCTTGCTATGCTAGTGTTGTTGCTCTCTATGAAATTTGTTAACCTTTCTTTTTTATTTTTTATAACTAATATACCGAAGTGCCTCTGGGAAAGAGGTGGGAATCCAAATTGGGTTCAATTTACCACTAAGTTACAAGTCTCATTGGTGAAGAAGACTAGAAGACCTAATAAATAAGAGTATATTCTGTAATTATTATATACTATATGTTGAAAACCTTCCCCACCCCACCCTAATTACTATAAGTCATATTGGCTTGGTTTGACCTGGCTCCTGTTAGTCATTTTCCTTCAGATAAAAATAAAACTACATTTTCATAGCACTTAAAAAAAGAAAAAGAAAAGTAAAAGAAGCATACTCTGTTGGACTTCCATGAAAGAAATGTCAAAAGGTTTTGTGGGCACAAGGGAGGGTGCTATCACTGTGATAGCCCGTTGAGATTTGTATCGATTTTATTTTAATGATCGAAATCGTTTATATCATAAGATTCATCATGTATATCATTCATATAACATATAAAATAAATCGGACATGCATAGCTCATGTTCGGATCATAATTATTTTTTAAAAAAAATTATCAAAACTATACTAAACATTTATTTTTTCAAACATAAATGTAGACATGTTATAAGTTACAAATATCTAATTAACTTGATTTTTTCATGGATGATCTAATTGACAAACTTTACAATATGAATGATTCGAATTATCAAAAAAAAAATTTGAAAAATACTCTCAAGGACATGTAATGTTTGCACAATTAGAGCTCTTGTTATATATCGTTAGAGAGTTGGTTGCAAATGTGGGATTCTAGCTTTAATTGTTGCAGAATTCTTCATTGGAAGCAAAATGTTAGCTCTTGTTATATAATCATTAGAGAGTTGGTGTTTGAGGTTAGGTTTAGGATGGGTTTGCTGAATCATAAATGCATTTCTACAAGCTGGCATGACGAAGAAATTGTATGTACAAAGTCAAAGTATTGTGTTATCATGTCCAAGAAAGCATCAAACATTCTTGACCCAGATAATGGATTTCTTTATCATGAATTGGTTATCTTCTTGTGTCAGATTCTTCATCACGGCCCATTGACCGAGTCTTCAAAACCAAGGGTTAGTATGTTTGGTTTTACTATTATGTCAACTATTTCATGTCTTTGAAATGTACCAGTAATTGGTCTGCTGTGCATGCTATTTATGATATGATAATTTATTGTCAAAGCCCAATGCCCGGTATTATTTGTATTGATTTCTAAAGTCAAACTCATGTTTGTCAACTTGGTCATGGTTTTCCATCTACTCCCAAGTTTTCAAAGGGGTTGCAGTTAAAAGGAAGAAAGAGCATATTCCAAATTGTTTCTATTATTTATTCCATTCTGGCATACGTCGTAGTGCATACAAAGATAAGGCCTTATCACAAGTAGCCAGGGTATCTTATTCTACTACCATTATGCCCTATCAAGGACTATAATTTCAATTAGATAAGATTTTATTGTTGTAGTTGAAGTTAAACCTATGTAGTATGTATTTGAAAACAATTATATTGAAGAATGGCTTCTGAAAATCGCCACAATGGCTAGTTGCCTAAAATAAGGGACTCAATTGAAGGTTGAAGGTGTAAATATTGTTCTTTGTCAAATGGATTTCTCTATAGAATTTCAAATGGCTCTTTTGTATTTCTCCTACAATTGTGTAACGTATAGAGCCGAAAAAATAGAAATAAAACGTGACCTTGTGAGATGACTCACCTCTGCCCTTCCTGATACCGCTTTCATTATGATTATGTAAATGTCAAATTGAGATCAGCTGAGTTTTGGAATATCAGTAAGATTCTAAAAATTCCAAATATTTGACTTTTGTTTCTTGGGATATGTAATACTTTGTCTTTTTTTTTTTTTTTCCCATTTGTGTACTTGTTTTTCTTGCTATTGATCTCAAACCTAGTTAGTTTTTCATTTTTTACCAGCCTTATCCTTCTACTCCAAACTTGTAGTAGAGCTCAATTATGCTTAAAAATGTCATGTGATCATGCCTTCTATGAACCATGAAGTAAAACTGGTATCCTATATGTACCTCAAGAGAAGATTATTGCCAATATGTCGCTATTACTATATCATCTACTGCATGTGATTTCCATTTTCCAATTTAATCCCCCTCCTAAAAATAATAATAATAATAATAATAAAATTGGTCCACCTAAAACTCTTAAGGAATTCATCTTGACTCATTAACTTTGAAAAAAAGTCAATATATTTATAAAATTTATAAATTTATATAATTTTTATACTATATTATATCGTGTACTGATATAGGGTAGAGTGTGAATCTTTTTTCTTTATTTTTATTTTATTTTATTTATTTGGCTAAAATAATTTATTTGCGCCGCTTATGACCCTTAGCTTTGCATCCAAAATCTGTATACTTTGAATTATCTAAAACAGTGAGTAACAGTTCACAGCCCCTTGGCTCCATGAAGGAATTATTCTCTCTTTCAAGGGTTTTCAACTTTTTCTTACAAACCATTCACTGTTATCATCTCCAATCCAACACTTCCCAAACAAAACAGTGGCCCCAGTCCTCTCTCTAATGTGCATTCTAAGTTTTTAGGGGAGTTTGAGTCTATATGTTTGGGATGATAGATTTTGGCTAAAATAGTCAATAAAAATAAAAAAATATTAAAATAATCAATAAGATAAAATATTAAATATTACATATTAATTAATTATTTTTTATCTCACAACTATCAATTTAATGAAAATTGGAATATTACACCCTTAAATTAGCATATGTTGCTTTAACTTCTCTGCACTTCGTATATAGTTGAGTAAAGAGAAAACCAAACAGAATACTAACTGCAATAACATGCCATAAGTACTAAATTATAGTTTGGGGCCATTCATTGGAATTGTCGCATGTGGCTATCAATTCTATTGGCATCGTTCATTTCTTATATGCATAGCTCCTTAAGTACATTATTAAGTTCCTCTGCATAATTTTATCACATTTTGTTTACCGAGTGAAATGTGAGCCAGAATAGTTATTGTTTCCCAATGTATTATTTTTTCAATAACCCAATTTAGTTGATAGATGTGTCAATTCTAGTATTCGGGGCTTATATATATTTTTCACATGCAGTTCAATCATAACATTTTGCATTTGGATATTTGAGTACTTAAATTGACAGCTTTAGAAACTCAATGTGGCATATTGTGGGTTTTCTTTCTGTGTCATGTTATCTGCTTTTTACTCTCAGCTCATTGCTTTATTGGTTAAATTTTCTCTGAATTATGATATTTGTCTTCTTATTGATGGTTATTTTGCAGTGGTTTATGTTTTGGTTATGAATACTTCTTCTGTTTACGCTAAATTGCTTGGCTATTTTCTCACGTGATTTATCTGTGGTTGTAATTTATATAACTCAGTAAAATCATTGGACTTGAACTTTTTTTTAATTAAAAAATATATATATATTTTTCTATATAAAATTTGTCCTATTCACCTAACTTTAATTAACTCGGCATAGTCAGAGATGGACAAGAGTTGGATTGCATTAGGTAGAACAGTTGATGAAAGGATAAGTCGGGCATATAATGATGGGGTAATATCATTTCTTCATTTTGCAATGGCGGTTATCGATCGAGATGGTAAATTTTTGTGCCCTTGTCGAAAGTGTGTGAATGTCGTTCGTCAAAATTTTCAAATTGTTCAAATTCGTTTGCTGCAACATGGGATTATTCCAACTTACACTATCTGGCACGTGCATGGGGAACCCCATGAATCAAATGAGTCTTATCATCATGATATACCCGTTGAGGGCAATGAGGCTTTGGGAGGTATTGATGCCTTAGTGGAAGATCGAATAAGAGGGGAATCAACTAATACAACTCAAGAGGAGGAGGTTCGCACTTTTGATAAATTATTGAATGATGCCAAACGTGAGGTGTACCCAGGTTGCACAAATTACACTTTGTTAAAATTTGTCATTGAGATACTTAATATGAAGGTAACAAACCATTGGAGTAATAAGTCAGCTGACATGATGCTAGAGTTTTTAACAAAACTTTTATCGAAGGATAATTTGGTTCCAAAGTCAACTTATGAAGCTAAAAAAATACTACGTCAATTGGGTTTGTTATACGAGCTCATTGATGCTTGTGTAAACGATTGTGTGCTCTTTTGGAAGGGGAATGCAACACTAGATAAATGTCCAAATTGTAAGGCTTCCAGATAAAGACAAATCATGGTAGAGGTAAGAAGATCTCTCGTAAAGTTCTTCGATACTTCCCGTTAATACCGAGATTGAAAAGGTTGTACATGTTGAGGAAGAGAGCTGAGGATATGAAATGGTTCAAGGAAAAACGTCTAAATGACGGTGTATTGAGGCATCCTGCAGATAGTGATGAATGGAAGGAATTCGATACACAACATCCTGAATTTGCCTTGGAGCCTCGGAATGTGAGGCTAGGGTTGGCTACTGATGGTTTCAACCCTTTCAGAAATATGAATAACTCATATAGTTTGTGGCCTGTCGTACTCATTCTGTACAACTTGCCACCGTGGTTGGCTATGAAGGACCCATTTTTCATGCTATCATTACTTATTCCTGGTGAATCACAACTAGGAATTGATATTGATGTCTACATGATACCTTTAGTGAAAGAATTGAATGAATTAAGGAAAAATGATACATTAACCTATGATGCCTTGACTGGTGAGACTTTCTGCATGCGTGCAGCTTTGCTGTGGATGATACATGATTGGCCCGCATTTGGTGACATATCTGGATGGAGAACAAAGGGTCATTACTCTTGTTACACTTGCAATGATGAGCCATATTTTGAATCTCTAAGAAGTAAGACTGCGTACAGTAACCATCGATGCTACTTGCCTGATGACCATCCAGAAAGGCAAAAGAGTAGAGCATATAATGGCAAGCATGAAAAATGGAAGAGATCTTTGGTGATACCAATAGAAAAGATTGAAAAACAATTAGGCAATGTGACGGGTGTCACATATGGAAAACATCCAAGCAACAGGAAAAGACCTCGTCAGAACCCAAATTGGACAAAGGTAAGCATCTTGTATGAGCTACCGTATTGGAAGAAAAGGAGGCTTCGACAGAACATTGATGCCATGCATGTGGAGAAGAACTTTAGTGAAAATGTTTTTGGAACGATGTTGGGAATTGATGCGAAGAACAAGGATACAGATAAGGCACGAATGGATTTAGAAGATATGAATATAAGGAAAGATTTGTGGCTGACAAAAAATCTCGATGGATCATATGTGAAGCCTCGAGCCAGCTTCTCACTGACCCCTAAAGAGAGAGAGCGTTTCTTTGAATTCTTGAAATCAGTCAAGTATCCAGATGGGTACACGAAAAACATATCGAGATCAATGAATGCAAAAAATGGTAGGTTAACAGGATTGAAAAGCCACGACTGCCATGTAATTATATAACGGATTCTTCCTATTGGGATGCGTGGTTACGTAGATAAAGAGATCAGTACAACACTTTTTGAGTTAGGTAGCTTCTTCCAAGATCTATGCTCAAGGACACTGAAACGAAGTGAAACGGAGAAATTAGAGGAACTTACAGTACTCATACTATGTAAGTTTGAAAAGATCTTTCCTCCAGCCTTCTTCGATGTGATGGTTCATTTGGCCATTCACTTGCCACGTGAGACTATTCTCGGAGGACCTGTGCAATATCGGTGGATGTACCCGATTGAAAGGTAATTTCTAAAATGGTACTTTCAAATGAAAGGTATAGATTATGTTATGTGCCTAACCATACTCCTAATTGGTTATCTCTTCAAGGTTTCTTGGAGCTTTGAAAAAGTTTGTCACCAATCGAGCTCGATCAGAAGGTTCTATTGCAGAGGCTTACATTGTCAAGGAGTGCATTACTTTTTGCTCAATGTATCTTGAAGGGATTGAAACCGCGCGTAATCGAGATGCACGAAATGAAGATTATGGAGTCCGTCATGAAGGTTTAATAATATTCACCGAAACTGCTCGTCCTGTTGGCCAAATCAGAAAGCATGTTGTGATGTCACAGGAACTTTGTAATATTGCTCATTGGTTCTTATTATGCAATAGCCCTGAGATAGAGAAGTTTCTTCAGTACATGTTTCTTATAATTATATATATTTTAACAATTTTCATGTTATTAGTCATTAATAATAGTAGTATTTCACTCATTAACCAAAACTATTTGAGTAAGGAACACAAGAATTTGTTACAAATTCCCACTGGACAAGATATAACTCAAATACAACAGAAGGAATTTCTGAAGTGGTTCAAAGAATATGTAAGTCATTTTTAATATTCAGAATTGCCCAAACACTATTAGGCTTGTATAAAATACAAACATTACTAGCATAATTCAAGTGTTGCACATTGCATGTGGATGTAGATAAATAGATTGAGAGTTGATGAGGCACTAGAAGCAACTGAAGAATTGTGGTCATTGGCGAATGGTCCTAATTTGCTAGTGAAAGAGTACTCAGGTTGTATAATCAATGGTGTAAGATTCCATACAAAGGAATTAGACAATCGTCGTAAGAGTCAAAACAGTGGTGTGCTTACCAAAGGGGACTACAAGGGAGAGATGCACGAATTCTACGGCCACTTGTGCAATATTTGGAAATTTGAGTGCATGTGTCAAAATAAAGTTGTTTTGTTTCAATGTGAATGGTACAACACCGGTAACACTGGTAGAAGTAGAACAGTACGAGATGACACATATTCCACAAGCATCGATGCCACAAGCCGATGGTATCAATCTGACCCTTTTATCTTGCCTAGTCAAGCTAAACTAGTGTTCTACCTGAATGACACGAAATGGGGGCAACCTTGGCAAGTCGTGCAACAGGTCCAACATAGAGGTGTGTTTGATGTGCCAGAGGTTGGTGATGGAGAACCACCAGATCAACCAGAATTGAATGATGCATTCCAACAAGAAAACATTAACTCAGTTGTCCCGATCAACATTGAAGATATTATTCGATTTCATAGGGATGATATTGAAGCTGAGGTTATTCCAAATAAAACAAAGAGAGATGGTAGAGATAACGAAGAAGATGAAGAACTTGGCATACTTGATGATGATATGGATTATGATATGTAGTTTTTGTTTTTTTAAGATTTCTATATGGACATATGTTTTTAATGCATTACATGGTTATGCTATATTTTGTTGCGCCTCTTCAAGTAAAATTATGCTTTATATTTTATGTTTTATATCAATTTATGCTTTTTAGTTACCAAAATGGCCAAAGGGGAGAAACAATGGATCAAACCAGGTTTTCTAGCGAGACAGAAGTGAACAAAGTACGAAATGGAAATATATAAGACAATCAAGAAGAATAATAAGAAAATGGATGCTCTACAAATGAAGCGTATAGAAGCTTCTTTGATGGGTTCTACTCAGCCCAATCGTGTTAATCAGAAGGGAAAGAACATTAGGGTAGATGATGAAGACTACATACCGTCAGATCATGAGGATGACACTGATGTTGAGTCCTTTGAAAGTGTTGACGATGAGGTACTATATGTATGGCCATTCATTTTTTTTATTATTATGTCACCGATAGCTATATATTTGTTAATGATGCTTTGTTAATACTATCTTTATATTTCCGTATACTCTATTAGATGAATAAGTCATAAAATAAAACTAGAAAATATACATCCTACATACAACAATATGCATACCAAAACAAATCGTAGGAGTAAGTTAGCTGGAACACAAATGTATAATGAAATAAGACATCATTTGACCATGTTGGAAACACCAGTACTAGGATTAGCGCATGTGTGTAGCCTGGCCCTCATAATATCAGTAATACACACGCCAAACTGATTGATCACCAACTTCACCACAGCATGAACTGTAATGACCCCAAAAGTCATCCTTATTTAATTAGGGGTTAATGTGTTTTAATTCAACTATATCTATCGGAATTAAAGAATTATCTGTTGAGTTATGGTGACCTTTATTGTATCGGCTTGAAATTTTTTTTCCCTCCGCTCGAGCGTGGGCTCAATTTTGACATTCTTAATAGTGTATTTGGAATGTTCTTACCTTATTTTGGGGTATTGTTTGAGGTGGTGGTATGATGGTAAAGTAAGATTGGACCAACGGATATAATTCGGATAGTTAATCTACGATCAACCGTCATTCATTTGTCCTTTTATTTTTTCACACTTTGAATTTGGATGTGAGGTTAGAACCATTGGAAATCTTATCTTTGGGGCTTCAATTTGACCACAAGAATGACCTAAAACGGAGTCCGGATGAGAGAGTTATACCCGTTTGAAGTTTTCACATCTGTGCTGGAAGCAAATCCGCACGTGCGGGGAATAGCGGCGCACGTGCGGGATTGTGCTGGACAGCAGCTCAAAAACGTGATTTTTGGACCATTTCTTACATTTTCTTTTCCCCTCTTCTTCTCCCCTCCTCCATGTCCGAAACCCAACCTCCCCAAACCTTGATTTCCTCTACTTTGATCAACAATCCACCATGGTTCTTGCATCAAGGATGGAGAACAAGAAAGGATCAACATTTTTAACCAATTGGAACTTGGATTTGCATAGGATTCTCATTAAAGCTTCGTCCCTTTGCTTGTGGCTTGAGGTAGGGTCCTAGTTCTCCTTCATGCTTTCATTGATAGATAGATTTGTGATACTTTGGAGTATATAAATGTAAAACCCATATTTGTTTTTGAACATCTAGTGTAGTGTTTATTATGAGAATTGCGGTTTTAGAATTGGAGATGTTGGAAGTTAAATTGGTGGGTTAAAATGAGGGATGGTGAATCCTAGATGTATAATTATTGGGAAAATTGGAATAAAAAGTAATGGGTTAATAAGTTTGAATTTTTCTTGAAATTTCAATATTTTCTTGAAACCCTAGGTTGATTAATGATGATAACCAATGAATTGGCCCAAATTGAAAGTAGAGAAATGAAATTGAGGTATTGAATTATATGTGTTCAAGTTTAATTGGAACTTGGAAATGTTTGAAAATTATGTTTAAAATTTGTGAATGAACTATGTTATGAACATTGTAATTCATGTTGTAATGTGAAGGGAAAATTGGGAAAATAATCTATTAATGATATGGATGATATGAACTCGATTTTGGAATGTTGAAATGGAATTCAAGGATTTATTTTGAATTATGTTAAATTACAAATGGTGTTGATGAACTAAGTGATATTGACTTTGTTGGATTATGTTGTGTTGACTCATAGTGAATTGAATGGTGTTGTACTATGATGAATTATGTTTGAATTACGTGAATTGTGTAGGGTCAGCTACAGGGGCGGATCAAGCACCTGAACACTGTGAGTAGTAGTACAGAAATGTACATCTTATTTATCGTTGATAATTATTGTCACTAACACTCTGTTCTTTGTAAGTTTTATCAACGTTTATGACAAGTGGAAATCAATATGAATTTCTATGAATATGGAAAGATTTGCGTACGTCGGTATGACTTTGGAACCCTTTTGTTCTGTCAATAACAAGTATTAAACCTCTGTTATTTATCAGTGTATTATGTACTTCTTAAGAATAAATGGAGCTTATGTTCATCCATGAATAATGATACCTGTATGAGTCCAAGATTATTTTGTTGTGTTACGTATGGACTCGAGGTCGTTTAGAATCTACGATATGAAAACAAAGGTTTAACATCATTATGTAACCCACGTTAGAATGTGAACTGTTCTGTCCTTGCTAAGCATGCTCTATGTTCTGATATGTTACGTTTTGACTTAATGAACAGTTGACCATAAATGTAAAGTATTCATGACATCCGTAACACACGGCCCTTACCCGGGGGTAATAATACCATGGTTTAAGTAGTTAATTTACAAGTTTATGTACGTTATAAGTTTAAGTATGTTACAGATTTAAGCATGTTACAAGTATAGGTATGTTACAAGTTTACGTATGTTCTAAGTTCAAGTATGGTACAAGTTCAACTATGTTATAAGTTTACGCATGGTACAAGTTCATGTATGTTACAAATTCAAGTATGTTACGAATATGACTTTTGATTTCTGCTTATGATTTAAGTATAAAAAAAATGTGTATGATTTGATTCCGTTTATGATATGACATGATATGTACGGTTTGGTCTGGAAAACCTATTAATTTCTAGTATGGAGCAAAGTGCTATACGGAACTAAGTGCTGCAGTGCGAGTTACCTCTAGAATCTGTATGAGCCACCTCTTGAGTCCATACATATGTGACAATTATGAGGCTGAAAGCCATTCCATGAACGTTTTGACGCTTATGGCCATCTATATAAGTTGTTATGAAATAAAACAAAGTGCTACACGGAACTAAGTGCTACAATGTGAGTCACCTCTAGAATCCGTGTGAGACACCTCTTGGGTTCATACATGCATGTTTCAAGGGCTCAATGCCAAACTATGTTCAAGGGCTTTTATGCCATATGTTTCAAGGGCTTTCATGCCATATGCTTCAAGGGCTTTTATGCCACATGTTTCAAGGGCTTTAATGCCACATGCTTCAAGAGCCTTGTGCCGCCATGTTTCAAGGGCTTATAGCCACCATGTTTATGTTGCACGATTGAACCTAAGGCCGTTATGTACTTAGCACAGAATCAGACTAACTATGTGAACTTTACATCTTTATATGCATTACTATGTGTTATGTTTCAAGTTAAACATCGTTTTATTTATGTATTACTATTCATTGAGCCCGGCTCACTCTCTGTTATGTCTGTTTCTGTAGGTCACCAATCAGGTGGTCAGTCCTATCCATGACGCCGCTTTCTTTTGTCAACCTTCGTGTGTCCAAGCACTATACACAACCATTGATTTTGTTAAACTGATAAGATGTTGGCTTGCTTTTTGAATGTCTATCTAAGATTGATGCATATAGCTTTCATGTTTTTGTATATGCCCAATGATAGGGCTGGGTCTGTAAATATGTATGTATATAACCGATGTTCATGTGTATGTTTTAATTTTATTTGTCTGTTAAAAGTTTGTGATCCTGGCATGATAGTAGTAGCTCGATGAAGTTTGTTTCCATTGTCAAATTTTGATATTTAGTGCTTCCGTTCAGGCCTCATATATATATATAAAACAGGTTAAGTGTCCATTTCTGAAGTGGTCATGCCCAAACTTCTAGGGGCGGGTTTGGAGCGTGACAAGTGGTATCAGAGCAGGAGTTGCTATCTCACACACGACTCCATTGAGCTTTAGGATGTCTAGAAAAGACTTAGGCATCATGCATGACATCCTTAGTGTATATGAAAGGAATTGATAGCAACGATAATGGTATATGTCATGACGCTAACCGCAATGGTTATTATTCATGTCTGTTATACATTTCTTGTATATATTGTGATTGATTGCTATGCAGAACATGGTAAGACCTGTAGATGGGATTAAATCAATAAAGTCGCACAGAGGAAGAGTGGTGAGGGTACGAAGCCTCACTGGTTGGTAAGACGATTCTTATGTAAAGATTAAATAAAATGTTTATTGTCGGTTGTTAGTCATTTGTGAGAAATGTCGGCGATATAATAAGGCTTTTTAGTATTTCTTTACGTGAATTGGTGAATTGATTAAACTCTAAGCATGGGATATTTCTAAGAACAAAGGAAATGCTATGTGTGATACTCTAACTTTAAGCTAGGGTTATGTTTTCCTCACCATTATCATGTTTAAATCTGTGATTTTGAGAAAGTACAGCATTTGGGTAGTATGATAAAATGTGTTTGCGTACGAATTGAAATTGTATTGAGTACGATTAGCTATAAGGAGAAGTTATGCATATAATGACCTCTCTTAGTGAGTGTAATTTGTTTATGGAAACCTGTACGCTAAACTTTGAACTTTGAAATCTGAAATCCCACTCTACCATTTGTAATCTATTTTGTTATATGTAAATTGTAATCTGTATTCAATATTTCTCTACGTGATATGTATAAGGAAACAAAAGGCTAAGGTTTATGAAATTGTAGTGTTTTGACTTGGCTAATGGGAAGTACAAACATGTTGAGTTCGGGAAACATGAAATGATGAAAGACATTAGAATTATGGTAGCTGACAATTCCTGAAATTATTATGATTAAAATATCT